TCTTCTGCTGCAAGTCCAAAAACTCTTCTGGCAACAGATCTTGCTCTGCAACTCACAAGGCATAGGGGCCATGGTATTTGTGCCTTGAGCTAGGGTTCTTTCCCGTCTGTGATCTCACAAGAAAATCTCCATTCTAGTTATCTCTAAATATGCCACCAGAGCTCTGTTCATGTCTTGTAGGCACTGTGCCATTGCTGATGCTTCTAGATTGGACTGTGCATTTGAGAAACTAGTTCTGCAGTTGCTGTTCACCAAGGAGTATACAATCCTGCCTCTGCGTGATCAAGGCACTGCTTTGTACTTTCCGTTATAGACTTCTCCTTTCTCCGATAAGAGTTGAGAAGTTACTTTCCTTAGTAACTGGAGTTGAAAGATACCCACATGCAGGTTCTACATCCTAATCTTCTTTGGGGTCCCAAATATTCTGAACTTATGTGGTATGAAGAAACTGAGGAACAGGAAACTCATATAACCTGTTCATATCCATAGTTTACAGTCTTAGGAGCAATGAGGTTTATGAATGCAGAAGGCAAAAAACCCACCTTGAAACGAGTGTATAAAGTAGGCTTATTCCTAGTGGAATGTATGTATGGACAGCACATTTCTAAGGGTTATAGTTACTGTCATGGGTAACTATCTTCTGCAGCTCAAATGAGACCTAGGAGTTCAAACAAAAGTGCAAGACATTTCAGTGACTAATTGAATATTGGTAGTACGTTTCAGTAATAAGATGGCTTACAATTTTTTTGAAGTTCTTTGTTCTATAAATATTGATTGTTCATTAACTTTGTCAGTGAAGTAGATCTAGGGAATTGTTGCTGTAACATAGGCTCATATTGGGTATCCACTAATCATCCTTCATGTTGGGATGAATCAAGGGTGACAGCTAGGCTGAGGAAAACCCTAAAATAAGTGGAGGGGCATGTGGTCTTCAGAGGAATTTTCTGATCCCTAGGGATGCTTTGAATTCTCTGATCTCTAAAAGGATGATTTGGGGGACATTCAACCACTGAGATGCATTCACTGAAATAAGACTCTTTTCAAAGGATAGGTACCAACTGAGTACCTGTGAAAATGGCTAACTATGGGAGGCTCCAGCCTAATTTGTTAGCTGATTCATTCATGGCATCTGATGAAGCAGGTTGTTGCTTCTGAAACCTCTCTGAACCAATTATTCTTTAAGGTACCACCTTGCCCTACCTGACTTCAGACTGACATGGATAACTACCTCTATGATAAGTAATGAAGACATTATAGAAGAGCAAGCCATAAAAAATAACCTCAGATCAAATAAGATTAAATGAAATGGTAAACAAAGTGGAGCTAAAATCAAGAACCTAAGGTTATAAAAGGGTAAAGTTTGAAAAACTAAGAGAGTTAGTTATTTAAATAGTTACTAGTTAATCTCTCATGCTGCTCTTCTATGTGGGCACTAATGATGCTTCCAGAGGTGATCTTGAGCAGATCAAAAACAATTTCATGGCTCTGGATGCAGTGGTGAAGGAAATAGGGGGAGAGGAAGGGAGAAGGCGATGTTGTTGATCCTCCCAGTCAAGGGTAAAGGTTTGACTAGGAGCAGATGCATCCTGGAGATCAGCATGTGGCTGAGTCAATGGCATTGCCAGCAGGGCTTTAGCTTCTTTGACTGTGGGATGGTGTTTCAGGAAGATGGGATGTTGGGAAGAGATGGGGTCCACCTGACAGAGGGGGTTAGCAGGCTTGCTGACTTAGTGAGGAGGGCTTTAACCTTGGTCCACTGGGGGATAGAGGCAAAAGCCCAGAGGTAAGTAAAGAGCCTTGGAGACCTGTATACAATCTTAGTAAGGGAAAGCAATAACAGAAGGCTTAGCAATGTTCTCAGGGAGACAATAGGATAGTTAGTCAGATACCTGAAATGTTTATATACTAATATGTGAAGTATGGGCAACAAATGGGAAGAATTGGAGGTCCTCATGGGAGTACAGAGTTATGATGCAGCTAGGGTTATGGCAATGTGGTAGGATAATTCATGTGATTGCAGCATGGTCATGAATGGGTATAGCTAGTTCAGGAGGGATAGGCCTAGAAAAAAAGGAGGCATAATATATAAAGGCACTGTACACATATTCACATTCAGCTTATGGTCTCTGGTCCTTCTCTGCAGTACTGCAGCCTGGCCAGTTGTTCTTCAGCCTGTATTTGTGCATGCAGTTATTTTGACCCAAGTGAAGGACTTTGACCTTGCCTTTGTTAAATCTCATCTGATTGATTGTGGACCATTTTTCCCATCTATCTAGGCCATTCTGGATCCTAACCCTACCCTCTGGAGTATCTACAACTCCACCTTACTTGTAATTAGCAGATTTGCTAAACATGCACTCAGTCCCATTGTCCGAATCATTAATGAAGTTATTAACAATACCAGATCTAGGACAAGACCCCTGGGGAATCCCACTTGATACTTCCTCCCAACTAGACACTGAGCCATTGCTGACAACTCATTGAGGAATATGAGCCAGCCAGTTATATATCCATCTTAAAGTACTTTTGTATTTCCTTAGCTTGTTAATAAGAATGTCATGGGAGATGGTATCAAAAGCCTTGCTAAAATCAAAGTATGTCACATCCACTGATTCTGGGGGAAAAGCTTTATGTATCACTTCTCGGCCTTTTGTAGGCTAAGATCATACGAGTAAATACAGTATTTTGTATCAGTTATAAGGTGATGTTGACTCTGACGACAAAGGCAGAATGGGTAATAGAAAGTGCGTGGGGTAAACAGAAGCAAAAATCAAGCAATTTAATGTGCTCATATCACATTTGAATAATCTACATCCCAAAGTACTTAAAAAAAAACAAACCTGCCACATAAAATGCAGGTCTAGTAGCAATTACTTTTATTACTTAAGGCAGGGTAGGGCTGGAGAAGGCAGCGGAAATGGTGCATGGGGTGCTGGAAACCTGCTGAGCCCCAGCTTCTGTGAGCCTGCCTGGGTTTTCAGTGCCCCGTGCACTGTCCCTGTCGCCTTCTCTGGCTGCCAGACATGTACGCATGCACAATTATTTTTATCCACAATAGAACAGTGTGCCCCAGTCAAACTAAAATGCATCTGCGGTGGTCTAAGTTGCCACGCTCAAATAATTTTTAATATGAAAAAAAACATGCGCATGTACATGGTGAGGCCATTGTTAGACAAATAACAATTTTCTCATCGCTTTGTCATGTCATGTGTACCTGGCCCCACCATTATGTACAAGTGCCCGACATGTCTAGGTAAATGGAAGGAGGTAAAAAGTGCAGCATGGGTTCACTAAAGGTAGCTCTTGTCAAACTAATCAAATGTTCTTTAACTGATTTGCTTGAGAAAAATGTGAATCTCATTTTTATCGGCTGTTGTAAATTAGTGATGTTTATTAGAGATTATTATCTCCAAAGCAGGGATAATATTCCCTCACTTTACAGGCATACAAGGTTTGTTTGTGAAGGTCTCATTTAATCTAAGGGGGTAGGTACAGATTACCTTTCCCATGTATTAAGGGCTCTTAAGATGGGAATGTCCACACATCAAGACAGGAAAGGGCAAGCTAAGCGGGCTTTAAGTGCTTCAGAGAGAATCCTCTTTGGGCAAGGATTCTTTAGCTAGTTTTAGGTATTTTATGTTGCAGTAACGTTAGACTGCTCAATGGTGCCAATATAGTGCCATGGAACCCGCCCACCTGCCACTGCTCTCTGGGCTAAGTCCAGCCCCCACCAGCCCCTGGTGTGGGACAGAAGCTTCCCTTGCCCCAGGACAGTGCCAGTAGCTGCAGATGAGCAGGAAGTCAGGGAAGAGACCCAGGGGGAGATGGAGGTGAGCTCTGAGGGGTGGGAGTAGATGCTGGAAAACTGGCAAGCAGGGGGAGCTTGACAGCTCCTAGCCATGCACCTGCTCACCAGCCCTCTAGCAGCGTGTCCGAGCAGTGCGGGGTCACAGGTATTCACCCTTGTCATGCGACTGGTCAGACAGTGCTTTAACTTTAATGTTGCCTAGCTTAAGTCTGTAGTTCCAACCTCTACGTGAGATTTCTTGTCTCCTCAACAAGGACTTGCCCTCTGAGCTTTACATTTAGCTCTTGCCCTGTTTCTGTATTTGAATGCTGTCTGTGTGCCAGAAGGGGGAGGGGGGGGAAACTAGGTTCCCTGGCTTTAGCTCTTGACTACTCCTAACCTTGGAGCAGTCATTACGGGGGAAGTAGCTCTGTATTGGAATAGGCTCAGGTGTCCCATAGGAATGAGTGGTTTGGTCAGCCTTATAAAGTTGTGAAAAGCTCAAATACATGTAATGACTATGAAGTCTTATGAGATTTTAACGATTAAAGCTGTCATTGGGCATGTGCGAACTGATTTTTATTTTTAAAAGGATTATAATGTGACCAAAATTGAGCAACTCTTTTACAGAGTTTGCACAGGATATGTCCCTGACGCACAGGTTTATATTCTCCAGCTAGATTTCAAGTCTGTTTCCCAAATATGGGGGTTTTAGAGCTTTCCAAAGAAAGTTACCAGAATATTTAACACTGTAAAAACAATTTGTTTTTCCTAGCCTCAGCCTTGGAAGTGACAAAGTTGTTTTAGCTGAAAATTTTATCTGAAACAGACATTCAGAACAGGCCATACTTGTTTAAATGGGTAAAAGTTGATGAAAATAACTAGCTGAAACTAAACCAGCTGGGGGCACCTCCTGTGGTTGTTGAGAACTTTCCTGTAGCTTCAGTTGTTCATCTTCAAAGCAAAAACAAGAAAACACTTGCTTTGTTGTTGACTGCATTCCCATGCTGATTAGTTTGTGCTGGGTATAATTGAGATCTGCTGGTTTAACCTTCTTGCAATAAATGTTTGAATAGGCATGTGTTTAAACAAAAGATGGGGGAAATAATTCTTTAACACTTCTTTTGAAATATTTGCTATATTATAAAGACATTTGAAATACTTGGGTTGAACTAGAAATGAATGATTCATATTGTTTACATTATTTTCACAGTTGCTGATTGTGTTGTATTGGATCCAAGGATTGCTGCATGGCTAATAAATCCTAGTGACACTGTTCCCTCTTTTGAGTATTTAATACTAAAGCATTTTAAAAAACCTCTTTCTATGAGAATGGTGAATATGAACATGGGTTTGTTAAGCAATATATCGGTAAGTAGTTTTTAGAGATTTACATACAATAAACAAAAAGGGAGTAAAATAATAATATTTTTTCTATTTTTTTTAGAAAACTATATAAACATGCATGTTTCTTTGGCAAGAGGAAGGAGTGTGTTTTCTTTCTTAACAACATATCCTGGAGAACTGGTATAAAATATCCAGGACTGCTTGAAATCTGTGCCATAATGGGCTCTAATTTTTCATAAGTAACTACTAAATTCTGACAAGCAGCCCCTAGGTTCCATGGCAGCATTACTTAATTATCATAAAATATCCTTGAACTCCTCTTTCCCAAATACAATATCATCATCAGGAGGTATGTCCTATCTATTTGTAGTGGTGTAGCTGGGTTAAAGTGGCTTCAAGCACGTACCAAGAATCACATATATGACAGACCAGTACTGTGGCCAGTTAAAATACCCAGTTTTGGGGATCTGGCATATGGGTTGTTTGTAGACGATAGAAACAAACAAACAAACAAACCGCACTTTATCAGGAGAAGCAGCATGTTAATTTAACCTGGCTCTGCAGTGTCTGTATAGTTCGGGCACTTCAGCGGGGCATTTTGGTGATTCAATCAGCTATTAGATAAAAGCACCAAAAAAGCCCTCCTAAAGTGCCTCTGATCTGTACAGATGTTGGGCGAGCTGGGTCCAACTAACATGCTGCCACTTTTGGGCATGTGCTAAGCTCAGCGTGCTCCTGTGCCAAGCTTAAAGTAAAGCGCCGTGTGTGTGTGTGTGTGTGTGTGTATTTTAACATCTGCAAGCAGCCATGTTGAACAGAAGCAAGTGGTATATTCTTTCGGGTACTGTTTAATTGTTTTATTGTTTTATCTGTTTTTACCGTAAGCTGTTTTCAGCCTTTATGGGGAAAGCAACATAAATCAAATCCATACATAAAATACTTCCCCATCACTACCTAGTCTGAGGGAGGGAAAACTGAGACCAACTTTGGAAACACTAGTCTTCAGTAAGTATTGTAATAGCTCTGGGAGTTTGGCAAATCGGGGAGAACTACTGAGAGAACCTGTGTGCATCAGAGAGAATAGAATGGTGAAGTCACTAAAACAAGTGCTGTTTCTTTATGCATCTTAACATTTCTAAGAAAAGGATGATTTGAAATATCAATAGGGTATTTTAGATGATTTCTTACCTCATGCTGCAGAAGCTCTTCAGTGAAATTAAATGGAACATTACTATTACATGTTTAGTGATAAATATCTTTGAAGGGATCTTTTGAAGGGATCTTTTTATATCCCAGGGCACTATTTTTATTTATTTATTTATTTATTTTTACTTGCCTGTCAAAATGATCTATGTAATACTTGGATATGGGGGCAATTTTGTTTCCATTTCTCCCCTCAAAACCATTTTATAGTTCTTGTTACCTCTTGGGGTTCTCTTTTATAGCTATTGTGCTTACTCTGTCTTCTGTGCCAGTTTCTTTACTTCTTTATGACAACTCTGTGCTACTTCATTTGTTGTGATCTACTACAGCATTGTTCTTTCCATCCTGTGGTGCATAGAGAATGAAATGAAGCAACAGGACAGCACAGTAAAAGCAAGGAAGGAATAAAATAAGCATTTGTTGTCATGCAAACAAAGTGGATAGGTTTGTAGAACATAAAGGAAGACTAACAAGCATCCAGGTAGACTGCTAACATGAAAAAGAACAGGGTGGCCAGTTTGCAGCAGGAGTCTCACAAGTGGCATGGGCAGCCTCTGTGTCATACAATAGATCAGGGAGGGACTAGCAGCACAGTAGCAAATTGGGCAGGAAGCGGAAGGCAAAGCATGTAATCAGGCAAGGACCAGGGGGAAAAAAGCAGAGCAGGAGATTGGTCAGGGATCACAGAGCAGGTAACAGAAAGCACAGCAGTAGATCAGGCAGAGGAAGTGGATCAGAGTGGCACCTGAGGAGGGTGCAGGACTAAATTGTGGCATGCCTATCAAAAAGGTTAGCCTCCAGTGAAATGGTGTAATGAGTAAACAAGAAGGAAGGAAAGAACACTGAGACACTAACAAAAGGGAACATGAGACCTGCAGCAAGAAACATCATCCAAGGATGGTGATAGATTGTGAGAATTGAAAAAAGAAGAGCCCTAGAAAGGAGAGAGAATACAAAATGGATAAGGGATTCTTCCCATTGAAAGAAGAAAACGTAACTTTTTAATGAAAAATGTTTGAGCGAGAGAAATAGATAAACAACCACTCCTTTGTTGAAAAAATGCAAAGCACTGCTGTGTAATCTGAAAATCAGATAAAATTATTTTAATGGAACTAAACTCTACAGATTATTTCATAATTTAAAAATATTTGACACTTCTGTATGGTTTGTAGTTATAGGAGTTCTTGTGGGTTTCTTTTCCTTATTAAAAACCTCTAGTCTCTCGTGAAGAGGTTTTTAATAGTTTTCTTCAAAATAGTTTGACACCTTTTCTGTAGGCCATTCAGCTGGACTACTCATATGCTCAACTAAAGAGCTTCTTGATAAGTCTACAGCAGTGATTCTCAACTGGGGGTGCTAAGAGATATCTTTTAAAGGTGCCTCCCCACTGTGCCTCTTTCGGAGGTGCTGTGTGGGGTTAGACTGGAAAGCCCAGCCTGACAGGAGGGGCTACCATGAGGCTGCTGTTGCTGTCCTGCCTGAGAGCCCAGAGAGGCAATGGAACCACTGTAGATGAGATAATGGTACGTCACCCCTACCCCTGCGCTTCCTGGTGGGCAAAGGGCACTGCCTGGGCTTCATTCATCAAAGCAAAGGTGGTAAGTGAAGCTTCTTTTGTGCAGGGAAAAGGAGGGGCTCACCTTGCCTGCATCAACAGAAGGTACCACTACATTCAGAAAAATTATGGAGGGGTGTCTTGAGTCTAAACAAACTGAGAAACACTGGTCTACAGAGTGCAAAGCAGCCATTCTCTAGCTCTGGAACCAAATGGGGCAGATGCTGGAAAAATGGTGGAAGATGATGATGTATAATTTAAGAGCACTGTGACATTTTCAAACATGCTAAAATACCAGCCTGTATAGCCGAGTTATCACAAAAGGGCTGCTGTGTCAACATTGCAGCAATTCTCTCTCAAATAATTGTTGTCTTATACTTGCTCCCATATGGGTTAGATCAGTCTGCCCATGGACCTGAGGCACAGAGTCTTTGCCCTGTTGTATTCTGCCCTACTTCATGCAGCTCTGTTTGCACTGAGAGAATAAGGGTAGTGTACCCTTCCTGTTTCTCCATTCTTCTTAAGTGTTTGACTGGGGTAGGGTCTATTATATTTGCAACATGCTTTCTCACTTGAAACCTCTTTTCTTTTTCTTTTCTTTTTTTTACAGGTTATCCTTTTTTTCTTATATTTAGTCCAGGGGTATCAAGCATATGTGGAGCCAAGGGACTGCCTCAAGTGTTTTAACACTATGTTGAAGGCTCTCTTTTTTGGGGTTCATTGACTTGGTGCCTTCTGTCTCTTCCCTTGCACTTTATTTTGTTCCTAACAGTTTTTCCTCTGTGGTCCTGAAGGAGGTTTGCAACCAAAGGATCAAGTAGGAAGACAGCTTTCCTTTTCTTGCCTGGAGATGGCTTGTAACTGAGTCTGTCCATGAAAGACCTTCCCAAAGCTCATAGGGACTGAGGCACTAAAGCTTTGAGCTTTAATTCCTCCTGGCTTATCAGGAGTATGAAGAGGCTTGTAGAGCACTGTAGTGCTGGCTGCGCTTTCTGGCTCCAAGTCTTCTTGCTCCACTAAGAGACAGTGCTCACTGCTGATGAGTGCCACATGGCTAACACTCTCCCCTGTGGACTGACCTACAATGCCTGAAATTAAGAAAATATTAATAAGAAGCACTACTACCTCCAAGAAAATGTTGGTCATTGCTGACTTATTCTAAAGCTCTAGACCCAGCTTTGTGTCCACTGCCTGATGCACTGATTATCCTTCACTTAGTGCAGATCTCACCCCTTACTAGTTCTGCTCCTTGCATGGAGCCCACCACCTCTAACAACTGATGACCTCTTGGTTCCCCTGTGTTCTAAACCTGTATGTAGATCTCTCATCTAGTTTTGGCACCACATGATGCTACCCTTCGACCCCATGGCCAGATCCAGAGACTAAATGTAACTTGGATTCTATGCCTCCAGCACCTGTATTTCTTTCCTCTCCATGTTTATATTTTGGAATTTTTTGTGATTATTGACATGGATCTACAAGGGGACAGAGTGTATGGGGTAAACCCAGCTCTGGTGGCAGTGGTGGGGATGCAAGGGTTCCACTGGGGACCCAGCAGTGGCCCAGGACAGAGTGGGACTCAGTGGTGGGACATCTGGTAAGCTGTTCGTCTGTCCTCTCATTCCCCCGCATCCAGATGTAACAAAGTAAAATCTTCTAAAATAACATTTTGTTAGAGAGACACTATTTTGGAGTGTTGCAGCTGCATTTATAATGTTTCAAAGGGCGCATATGTTTGTTCCGTTGGCTCTTTTGAAATGTTTTAATTGTTGTATGTGTCCACACCTGAGTTGCCTACGGTCTCATCTTCATTGGGACAATAAATTTGACTTAATGCCTGAGGTGTTCACTAGGTGTCTCTTCCTTCTAGCTCCCACTTTCAGGATTGCTTGGTGTGTTCATTTGTGATGAACAATAAAATTTTGACAGCCTCAAAAGCTAGAAATCATCCATTTTGGTTAGACAATTCTCTAAATGGCCTCCCAAGTCCTACTATTATTTGACTGCACACAGAAACTACATTAAAAGAGCATTAAGGTTGAAAAAGTCAAGCATTTAAATTAGGAAATGCCTGTATAATCTTAATTTGACCCTTTTGTGTATCTTTAAAAGACACTCTTTTAATGTCTTTAATTACTATGGTAATAGAGAGTTCTTCACTCAAGCAGACAAATGTATAATAAGATCCAGTGACTCGAAGTTGAAGTTAGACAAATAGTGGATAGAAATAAGGCTTTTGAACAATCAATGTAATTACCAGGGGTGA